TCACGAATTCGGTCTATGGACTTCCGTTTATTCACCACCAGAGGTCACCCTTTCTATTACATTGACTCTCGCACAACACAAACTGTTGCATAGCACCCCGGACTACATATCCCATCATTCTTTGCACAATTTGCACACTGCACTGATTTGCACTCATTGCACACAGCTGTTTCTAATCACCTCACTCACTATATAACACCCACTCTAACCACCTTCCTCTGCTGAGTATTGTTTAGCCTGTACCCCTTTCTAAGTCTCCGTGTTTTCCTTGTTTTGCCTTGCCTGTTTTTTTGCAGTTTCTGATCTTTGCCTGTTTTCCTGGATTTCTCCCTCTCGTCTTGCCCCTGTGATTCTGTCTGCCGATCGGTGACCTACGCTAGCCCTAGGACTATTCTTGTGTTTTTGCCCGCCATGTACCTGTTTGCCATTGTTCGACCCTGCCTGTTATACCACGTCTCTTTAAATAAAGCTTGCAGATGGATCCACACGTCTCACATCTCGTCAGCCCCGTTACACACGATATGTTGCGTCATAATACGCAATCCCTTCCCAGTGCAGTCAATTACCCATAATGCCTCACAATGTGTTCATGCTGTTTGTATTTGTGGACACTGATGGTAATATAGATAAGTGTCAACCTGGGGGTCTCGAGCTTCAGAAACAAACACAAACAGCCTCCTAGATTACAATAGCAACCGTTGCGTGCATGTTTGGGACCCTGAGCTAAATTTCAACAAATCACCACGCATCCTATTCAGAGAGCCATGTCTTCATCTGTCTCTAATATAGCTTACTCACAAAGATAGAAAGCTTAAATGTCATATTTTAAACCAGGGTTGTTATAGTTAACTCAAACAAAAGCTATTCAAATAAAGATGAATTAAAACAATATAATATTTGATGACAAACTTAGAAAAATAGAAATAAATAAGCTTAAGTTGAAGAACTTTGTTGTGGCTTTGTCAGTTTTATTTATTCATTTATTCATTCATTCATTCAGCTTTGACAGCTGTAACCTAATTGCTGCACTAATTAATGTTTTTTTTCCTATTTATTTTATTATCATTAGTATTTTTAATGCTCCCTCTGTCCTGTATGTTTCAGTGACCATAGTCTACCTCTCTTTCTTTCTCACAGTCTGGTCCAGTGTACTTGATTGAAGATTTCGGGGCCCTTCAGCTGAAACAATATAAATGTTTGTTTAGGTCAGTGCTGTGTGTATGCCTATGTTAGCTGACAAGGTTCATTTCATGCCAGCTATTCAGTCATCCTTTATAGGTCCGAGGCAGTGAAATCCACACATATTAAGTTTACTTGCACAGTTACAATCTAGTAAAAACAGGGTTTTTGTGTATTCGAGCTACAGCTTTCATCTGTCTGTCCAAGTATACATAACACAATACGTAATCAAATACTTGTATGATTAAATACACATCGAATGTCACTTTTGTCTCTTGGAGCAAGCACACAATGTCAATTGTAGTCTGATTAATTTGTATACATACTGAACGAAGCCAATCTACAATCACATTATAGATCTGTTATCAACTGTGCAAAAATCAGACAATGAGATTTTACAAAAGATTAATCATTGTTTCATTCGGACTTAAACTTTTAAAGTGCATGTAAAAACAAAGGTTCCAAATGGGGGGGGTTTCGCTGTGATGCTATAGAAGAACCATTTTTGGTTCCCCAACAAACTTTTCAATGATCAGTTCTTGAAAGAACCAATTTTCTTTGTTTTAAGAACGTTTTAAAAATCTATAGGACCTTTTCCACTGTAAAGAACCTTTGTGCAATGCAACGGTTCCATGGATGTTAATGGTTCTTCATGAAACCATGGATTCCAATAAAGAGCCTGCGTTACTGTCTTTGTAAAGAGCACAGATACCGATTGAGACAGATTAGACTCTCCTTCAAGGTCTAGTTCCTCCATTTTAATTATATTTTCTTAAAACATCTATGGTATCCTCAGGTATACACATCTTAGCTAGGCTGTTAAGGCATTTTCTTCTTTATAAGAGTCATGTATATGGCTTGAAGGCAGGTGTTAGAGTAGTCAGGCATACATTTGCCCTGGGCTTCACTTCCACTGGCTTTTTTAGCAACCTAGCTAGCAGTTCACATGCACAGTGACTGCCAACTTCTCTAAAGCTATTTTAGTATATAATCTCAATCTTAAAAAGTTTGTAATAATATATCAAATAATAATTTCAAACAATTACCTCAAGTTGATTGACACCACTTCAGTGAATTAACACTAAGACAAGCAGGCAAATTTATTTTTATAAGCCATCATGCTAGCTTCTGCAGAAGCTCAGTAATCCAAGGCAATAATTACATTTATTCTCCACACTTTTTCATTTCTCTCTTCATATCACAGAGCTTAGCAAACTCAAGCCCTTGGGAATTAAAAAAAGACCAAGCCAAAGTCAACAGTCCAATCATCTCTCTTGATGCAGTTTGACTTACTTAAAATGAACATTTCAACGCCTGCACCAACAGCAGATAAAGTCCTGTCAATCCTTTCAGAAATACAAGAAAAACATTTCTGTCAGATTGTGTGATGGATATCCGCTCCATCTGCTGAAACCACTAAACATCCATGTAAAATGTGTGTTTTCTTTTCAGATTACAATGGCACCGAAGCAGCTAAACAGACGACAAATGCAGTTTGACAATTTATACAGCCTTTGTCCACAGTTCACAGTAATTCTTTACCTGTAAGCAACCAATTCCTAATTACACTCAACTTCATGTTCACTTTAGCTAAGCTAACCAAATAGTTCAAATGGAAGGGATGTTTTTAACAGCTTTGAGATACAGTAGTGCAGTGAGAGGGGGTGGAAAGAGAAAGAAAGCTAGAGAGAGTCCTCCACCTCCTCTCACACCTCCACAAAAGCACAGGACCGACACAAGGTGGGAGAGCAGGTCGCCATGGCAACTGACGACTGGCCTCTAAAGAGAGTCACACACATCCCCCAGACTTCCTCAATTAGCTGTAAACACACACACACACACACACACATATGTTAGGGAGGTCCATCCAGAGGAAGCTAGTGCTTGCTCTGGATGGACATTTTGGTTGCTCATTAACACAGGATGAAAACAGTTTATTTCTGGATTGTTTAAAACATAAATTCTCACATGCATTTTGTCTTATTTAACCTTATATCTAATTTATTCATTATATTTAGCTGTATATTTGTAGTCTGTGTAGTGTAGTCTCCTAAAAACATCAGAAGTCACACACTCTGTATCCACTTGGGAATGGTGACCACCATTTCTGTGGGCAGGTCATTGACATGCTGGTGCATTGTTACCTCTGGCCCAGTGCTGGTTTACTGTGGTGGATCATTTTTGCCATGTAAGCAGCAGAGCTTGAGGACCAAAATATAATGCTCCTAGCTAGACAACATGGTGAGTTCACTACCATCCTGGCATTTCTTCATCTTTAAGATGCTTTTAGATCTCTGTTAAGTCTCCTGAGCTATAAGAGCAACCTCTGAGCAATAAAAATCAATCAGTGATTGTTTATTTACTTTTGTTCATCCCCAGAGGCACGTTTTATTGCTCAGAGGTTTGTATTTCATTGCTGAGGTGACTTCATGGATATCTTCAGTTCATGTCATTTAAGTATCAACTTTGTCTCAGGTGTTTCTCCTATAAGTACTTTTATTATTTTTAGGAACCATTTTGCCCATACAGCAAAAAATACAGGCCTTAAATATATTTCATATTGTCTGGCCAAAATATATTTTAAATATATGTTGTAAACAGTGAAGCTCATATATGAAATAAAAGGGAAAATATATTTTTAAATGCTTTGAATATATTATATATATATGTGTGTGTGTGTAAAAATATATTATATATATATTTTGAAACATATATATATATATATATATATATATATATATATATATATATAGATAGATAGATAGATAGATAGATAGAGAGATATATATATACTTTGTAGCAGATCTGTTCCGCCAAGACCAAATACATTAACATTGTCATATCCATCACCATGCTAAAATGTTCAGAGAGTTTGAAACTTTGAAACATATATATATATATATATATATATATATATATATATATAGATAGATAGATAGATAGATAGATAGATAGATAGATATAAATATACTTTGAAACATTTATAAACCTACTGTACATAAAATATAAAAACATTTTTTGTCTTTTTTGTTGTGTATTCTGAAACATTTATTTTTTTAATAAATGATCTATTTTCAGTGAACAGTTCTTAAAATAACCATTTTTCATAGTGTGAAGAACATTTTAATAATCAAAAGAACATTTTGTCCACAATAAAGAACCTTCTGTGTAATAGCAAGGTTCTGTGGATGTTAAAAGTTCATCATTAAACCATAGATGAAGACTCTTTATTTTTAAGAGGAGAAATAAAAATATACACAAATAAGACAACAGTTGACATACAATAAGAGAGCTATAAAACTTTTTTTTTTAATTAAAATAAACAAACTCTACTGACATATAAACACTCACAACATTTTCATAGTCTGGCACCTTCTCTCTCATATGCTTATACAGTACCTACACCCCCCAACACACACACACACACACACACACACACACACACACACACACACACACACACATCCTGTCCTCTCGCTAGATGAAGACTCTTTATTTTTAAGAGGAGAAATAAAAATATACACAAATAAGACAACAGTTGACATACAATAAGAGAGCTATAAAACTTTTTTTTTTAATTAAAATAAACAAACTCTACTGACATATAAACACTCACAACATTTTCATAGTCTGGCACCTTCTCTCTCATATGCTTATACAGTACCTACACCCCCCAACACACACACACACACACACACACACACACACACACACACAAACACACACACATTCCTTGTCCTCTCGCCTGGCAGCCCGAGGGTCCACCCCCTCTCTTCATTCAGCCTGGTCATGTGACCCGAGCTCTGTGAGTAGAACAACACCGTGTGAGCCATCCATTCATTTCCTCCTGAGAAACACACGGCGGCGGAGGAGAGACAGAGAGAGAGAAGGGGGTCACATCAGAAAGTGCGACAGAGGAAAACAAGACAGAAAAGAGGGAGGCAGAGGGACACTGTAAGGATAGTGGTTCTCACTGTCAATAGCTGAGGTTAATAAACAAGGTCAGTAATGTCTAATGTTTTTTTTTTCCAGTTTATCACTACTTAGACTGCTAGTTTGTTAAACTATGGACCTGTCAGCTGTCATTTAAAAGCCAGTTAAAATTGTAAATAAGAGCTCCTCAAGTCTTTATTTTATGAATAAAAATAAATAAATAAATAAAATAAATATTATGACTATTTAGAGTTTCAGTGTTAACCAATTAGTACATTTAATAAGTAAAATTTAAAAGCTCAAATTGAATAGATTAAGAGTTCTTATCAGTGTGACTTTATAACTTTTATTGCTGTTGACTTATTTGTATTATTTATTTTACTCAAGTATATTATTGAGGAATTTATACAGTGTTTACAGTATTGCAGTCTTTGCTGCATGTTCTCTTCCTATTTGTTTCATGTCATATAAGGGCTGATTTCATTTATGAATGTTACATAAATGCTATATAAAGGGTTTGTTTTTCTTATGGGTATTTATGAAAGACTCCAGGATTGCATTTACTTCCCTTTTCTTGCTCTCTCTGTCTGTTTGTTTTCTACTTTTGCAAGAACTGCTTCAAAATTTGTTGATACAACAATACATCATAAACGTACATACAAGAATTGCACAGAAGAACAGTAGCTTTGTTGTAGACCAGTAAGGAACTAGAGCTTGGTTGCATCTGTTGGTCTGATTTGGCATGGATGATTTTCCCTCTCAAGTATGTGACATGGTATTCCTAGCCAAGTCAATCAGACCTTCAAAGCTCTGAAAAATAATTAGACATCATTCAAAGAATCCACAGTACTATTAAAGTTAAATACTATTTAAGTAGCTATAAATATACAGCATCCTCTGCACCGCAGAACAGAAACCGCACCTGAGAGTTCCTCCAGAGTATTGATCAGTGTCTGGTGTCTGTCGCGTCTGCACCGGATGAGCTTTGTGCTGCAGTTGCATGGTGAGGAAGTTTGGGGGTCACTGGGTCTCGTGTTTTTGGAAGCATTTCTTCACCTGAAATGTCAATAAAATAAGCAAACTTTCCTCTCGCTGTGGCGCTTGAATGACCCAGTGAGGCAGCTGTAGCTCTGCAAGGTTCACCTCTGGGTGGTTGTTGTTGTAGATTGTCTTTAGGAACACAAAGTGGGCGAGAAAGAGAGCTGCTGTTGAAGGGTGAATGTGTGGGCTTCGGCAAACAAGATCTGGATCAATAGTTTGAGGGGGTGTGAATCAGGTGTGGAATGAATTTTGTGTTGCAAGTTTTTAGAATCCCTGTAATGGACTGGCAAGTCATCCAGGGTGTTTCCCTGCCTACGGTCCAAGATGTTAGGCTCCAGCATCCCCGCAACCCATAAATCGATTGATGGAAGTTTAAAAATGTGTTTTCGGTGGTTGGTACCCATGTAAAAATTGTTGTGGATTTGTCAACACTTGTTATGTTTATTCAGATATGACGTGAATAGTAATAAGTTTGTTATGACTAAAATTTCAGTAGTCGATACAGTTGTGAAGTTTCATGATTTTGACATTTGGTTTCAATTTCGAAAACACAGCAAACTTACTGTGATACTGAACCTTTATATAAAAAAATCTAATAATAATAAACTTTAAATGAATAATAAACAAAGTGTAATGTAAACAATGTTTTGCAGTGTTTTTTTAGTTTTTCTTTTAAGAAATAAACATAACTAAACTTTAATTTAAATAAATAAATAGTGTACTGTAAACATAGTGTTGACGTTTTTGAAGTAGTATTATTTGTAAATAGTAATAGAGAACAATGAAATAAACCGAACTGGCCTTTGATAAGCAAACAAACAAACATACATACATACATAATGTAAACATATTTGTTGAAATTTTGTAATAAAGTAAAAAAAAAAAAAAGTGTAACGTAAACAAATTATGTATTATTTATTTACTATGTAAATAGTAATAAAGAGCAATGAAATAAACTGACCTTTAGTTAAAATCGAATAAATAATAAAATAGTGCAATGTAAATAATAAATAATTAAATAGTGTAATGTAAACATAGTTTTGACATTTTTGAAGTATGTATTATTTATTTTCTATGCAAATAGTAATAAATAATCAAATAAATTGAACTGACCTTTGATGAACAGACAAACAAACAAATAAATTAACACATACACAGTATAATGTAAACATATTTTCATTTTTTTTCAAAGTGTTTATTATTTAAATTATGCTTGTCAATATTCAAAAAATTGAATTGAAAAAAAATTCAACAGTGGTCACTGGGGCAGTACTCTTTCGAAAGGTACAGCTTAGTACCCTATTTACCCCTAAAGATTGCATATTAGTACAAGAAAGGTATATCATTATTAAAAAGAACATAGTAGTACCTTCTGAAAGGGTATTGCCCCCGTGACCTTTTTTTTTTTTTTTTGGATAGTGCATAATATACAGTGGAAGGTCAGTGGAAGTACATTAGGACCCTGCAAGGTGCGTGAATATGACATTTTAAAACATATTCCAGGCTTGTATCACCTTTTAACAATCACTATCTGTGTATACATTTATAACTCAAGCCAAATAAGGCAAGCTGTTTAACCAAGATGTACATTTGTTAATTCACACGTGCAGCTGCATTCACAGAGATAACACTCAAATTAATATCGAACTGAGTACTCAGTGATACCAATACTACAGAAATACTGGTATTGTTAAACGTTTACTTTTAGATGGTTATCCCTAATCAGTACTGTATATATTAAAGACTTGTCTAACAGCCAAAACTGTTAATGGAAATTTAACTAGAAGTACTCAAAGATAAGCTCAATCTTTTGCTTTCAAACTGATCTTCTTGGCATAGAAACCCAGATGCTTCCACGCAGCCAAGCACTTACACACACCTACACAAATGTGCATGCAGAACAGAAATCAGAGGAACTCAGTCTCCTTTATGAGTCACCAACCTACAAAGAGTGAAGTGGCAGGGAGGTTCCTGTACAGTACGGGAAACAGCAGATCTCCCTAGTGACCGCCTGGCCCATTAAACTGAGCTCTGCAAAAGGGCTACAACCAGAGCCTGTATAGCGGATGCACTTCCTGTGAACACTTTGACTGAACTTTTACCTCTGACCCCAGGGCCTCTCCTGGTGGGGCCTGACCTCCAAATGCAAGAGGAACAGGGAGAGAGTTTCATGTGGGATCTGTTCCTGGTTAGGGATCTGTCAAAGCCAGACAGTTGTCTTCAGCCCCACTGCTGCTGTCAGGGCGAGCTACTTTGGAAGAGCTAAAAGCTGTACTTTTTCTAGACCTCTTTATGTCTTGCTCTCTCTCTCTCTCTCTCTCTCTCTCTCTTCAATTCTTTCTGCTTCTTCTTTGGTTTTCACCTGCAGTTGCTCGTTCTTGTTCACTTTCTCCACTTTTCCCCAGTCTTTAGTTGCAGCTGTGAGTCTTTCAGCCTCACCGAGGGCAGAGAAGGAAAAACAATTCTTACCCAGCCCTGTGTGAGCATGCACTGCTGGAAAACAAACACAGCTGCCTTGCTCATTACGAGCAGGGGCATCATAACACTCAGGGAAGAAGGCTAATATCGTTGAAGGGGTAAAAACGCATGTCTTTTGAGTATGTGAAAAGAAAAATGAGTGCTTGGTAGTCATTATCTGTTTTGGAAGTTTTGGAAGGGCTGCGTAATCTCTAGCGATCACATCCTTTCCTGTCCTCCTTTCCTGTCCTCCTTTCCTTCGGCTTCCCTTCTCTCTTTGCTTCTTTTCTGTAAGTTTACTCTTTGTATGATATTCGGTCTCTGAGTGGTTAGCGGTCATGCTAGTTAGCATGCTTGGTTACTGGCATTCAAGCTGTGCTTTAGGGGCTGAATCTTTTCTGGCATTGCGCTAGAAGAGGCTCAGGCTTTCCCACAATGCTCAGGACAGCTGGGGAGGGTTATCGCTGCCCCCAGAGTCTGCACAGCCTAATGGGAATGCGGGCAGATCTCTTCCAGCTGTGAAACAGGCAAGACTTTCAAACACCTTGATGGGTGATTATTTGGATTGAGCGACATATTGAATATTTGTATTATATGTGCAATGCTTTTCTGGTGAAGTAAAATGAATCAATATTGTGATTTTTATGTGTTTCATTTGGCTATGAGTTTACTAAAAGTGTGTCTTGATGGCAATTCTGCGGTCTTTCCTCATCTCACAATTTAAATAGTGTGTTAAATTGGCTCAGTCTTTTTGCATGAATCATTTCATTGGTTCTTGATTTAACATTTTTATGTCACTATTCAAAAATGCACACACGTGGAATTCAAAATATTTTTAGCAAAATATTTGATTATAAATGTTAAAAATGTTAAATGTCTTCATATAACTGTCCCATTCTCCCTTTATTTCTCTGTTGATTTTCTGAGGTCCTATATACAACAAAGCCACAATAAGCAATAAACAATACCATAAAAAAAA